CCCTCCCTTCCCCCTACTTACCAGCATGGAGTCCAGGTCCAGCTCCCTGCATCAACAAGTGGGAACTGCCCAAATTTCCGAAGCTGTCTGAATAGTTTCCAGATTGATTCAGACCTTTTAATGGGTCTCCTGATTTGATTTGGATTCGGAGATTTGACCGCCGAATCAGGCTGAATCTCCTCTGAATTGAATCAGCACCTGAACCCTCGGACAGCACTAGTAGCAGATACTCCTGCAGTTCAGTTAGGAGCAAGAGACCCTTCTCTTCTTTTAAATCAGCTCTAAGGCTGTATACAAATGTGGCATTTCTCTGAGAAGAAAGCCTTTGGTCCCAGGATCCTACAGACATACAAGTCCATTGCCTTGCTTTTCATACCTGTGTGAATACACAAGATAAAATGTGATAACACTTTTTGACGTTGTTGTTTGTATGCTGTGTGTATCTAAATTAATTGGACGTCCTTCAAGCTAATTGTGAGTCATTCCAAAGACAAGTCCTACCGCTGTGAGCTCTTGCTGGCCACCTGCTGGCAGAGGAGCAGCCATGCAGCTTGGAAGGGCTGTTTGTGTAAGTGACTGTACTGCTCCTGTTTTGATCTGGGTTAGAGCCTGGGACAATTAGGACCACCTCAGATGAGACGTCTGTTTACAGCCGAAAAGTATGGATGCCCATACCCAAAGATGTTCTATCTTATCCTGTGATAAAGTGTTGAATTTGTAGAAGTCTTTGATATAAAGTGGTTGAGGGTACAAATCAGTAAATTACGAGTAAAAATTCTTGTAGCAAAAATTTAGAAAGGAAAATAAATATAACAATCACATGAAACAGAAATTGGGACACTGACATCTTGGGAACCTTCTCTGTTAGTCAAAAGTGAAGGACTCTTACCCACTTTACTTCATATTTGGAAGAAAAGGGCTTCCTCAATCACAGATGTTACCTGCAAGTTTTGAGGACATATATTTGTTTGAAGAGTTGGGAGAGGGTCTGTATAGTGTTTATAATGAAAATGCAGTTGCAGTCTTATATGGAACAAATGTGGTTCATATCTCTGCAGTTAAATGCCTGAATTTTAATTGTACACATGTAATTACAGGATACAATGGCAAAACGAAATACTGTTATAGGAACTCCATTTTGGATGGCTCCTGAGGTAATACAAGAAATTGGTTATAATTGTGTGGCAGACATCTGGTCTCTTGGTATCACTTCAATAGAAATGGCTGAAGGAAAACCTCCATATGCTGACATACACCCAATGAGGGTAAGTTGTATGTATACCTTCCTCCCTCTGCCCCCAAAAGATATTAATGCTGGTATGATGAAGCTATCTGTGCAGTCAGGCTGTTACTTATAACAGGCAAAGTGGACAGTCTTGGAGTCATTAATCACTTGATGCCTGACTTTGTCTGCTCCCTGTCACTGTAGTTTACATCTTGTAAATAGAGTTTATTTTTACAGTATTTTTGTGAGGTTGGGAAGCACTATTGCTTGCTGTTTCAGAGATGGAGAACTAAAGCACTAAGAGATTAAGTAATCCAAGAATTCCATGTTAGGTTGAACCTACATCTTAAAAGTCCAAGTCTGGTGTTATGCCAGGACATGGCTGGCCAGATTGGAGACTGAGGCAGCCAGCCAGGACCAGGATGGGTAAATAGAATCTGAAGTTGAACCGGGTCAGGAAGCCAGAAGGTCAGTCCAAGAACAAAGTCCAGGCATGATCAGAGTCCATGGAAAAGCCAAGGCAAGAAGCCAGGAGATCAAACAGAGAACAAAGTCTAGGGGGCCTGTCAAATCAAGAAGCTGGGAAATCAAATGGAAAGCGAAGTCAAAGAGTAAGCCAGAGTGAGCAGGGAAGCAGTCTTGGGTCAGGTTGCCCTGTTGCCTGGACACTTCCTGTTCATGGTCTGGTGCTTATATTCTGGAAGTGGATGGGTCAGCTGACCCTGCCTGGCCACTCCAGTGACAAGGAGTAGGTGGAGGGTTAGGCACTAATGGAGGTTTCATGCTAGCTTTGACCAGGCTGAGTGGCTAACCATGAGGTGGCAGGCCAAGGCCCCAGGTTCAAGGCCGCAGCTTAACTTCTGGTGTCATAGCCATGAGGTCATCTTCCTCCTTTTAAAAGAGAGTTTTGACTTAAAGATAGCTAAGAACGGTATTCAGAATTTGGCCTGTTACCTGTTAATGTAGGTGTTTGTAATCCCAGAATGGTTTTTTTGTTTCTAAATTTAAAATAAAAATATTTTGCTTCATTAATTTAAATTTTATTGTGTAAAAATAAATGGGTAAGAGATAATTGGAGAAAAATACTGCTTTCTAAAAAGCTGATCGAAGGGTATTTTTCTAGATAGTCACCACTAGACATACCTTTGTTTATTGAACTGCACTATATTATAGCAATGTCTCTTAGAAAAGCCTTGCAAATAAGTGTGATTATTAATAAAAATGATTATTTCAGTGTGCATTTGCAAATAGAACCAATTTACTGTTATCAAGGCACAATGAGTTGTTATAGGCAGTGTGTTTCCCATGTGTTTTCAGCATGTTTAAATGTGATGCGCACACTTGATTATTGTATTAATTTTTTTGTCAGTGTGTCATGAGTCATCTTTATATAAATAAAGGGAGCCACAGCTGTTGAGTATGAAGGTGCTGTGCTGTTTTAACATGGTGACTTTAAGGTAACACTTGAATAAATTCAAGTGTTTTTAGAACGTGTGTGTGCGTGTGCACGCGTCTCTGTACATGTGTTTCTAAGCAGGAATGTTCTGCAGAGGTCTCAGTAACTTTTGCTAGCGAGTAGTTAAAGCAAAGCTACTGATTTGTTTTGTGGTTTGAAACATTATAGCATTTAAAGAGACAACTAATAAAACTTTTGGCAAAGCTGTTACTTCTGGCAAATTAGCTTTTATACTTAAAGACTGAAATGAAATAATTTAAATGAAAACTGAGATGAACAAAACAAATATTTTCAAAGTTTCTGTTTAATAGATGTCTTAATTTATGACCCGTTAACATTTTAAAACTATTCTGAAACACTGTATTGATTACATATTAATTATATTTGATTATATTGAGTTTTTCAATTGTACTCTTTTACATTAATGAAATCATCTTCGTTACATCTGGGTTCACTTTAACATAATTTCATGTAGTTACACTAGGTAATGAAAGGTAAGGACTAAATTATCAGGGAGGATTTTATAAGCATGACAATAGCTGCTTATAAACCAAAGGTCACTGTTTGAATTTGAAGGCTTGTGAATCTATTTAATTCTTGTAATCAAATGAATGATATCAAAGGCCAAAGTAATTTAACATAACAATTCTGGATTACACAGAACACATGTTCTTGTTAATAAATTGTGTTATGGTCTTTAAGGACTTGTATGCAGTTAGAACTCTTTTGTATATTTGATACCTACAGTTTGTCTTAATTTTTATTAGTGAGTTGTTACAGTGGTTAACAAGAAATACACAGATTTAAGTTGAAATAGTTTTCCCAGAGTTATATGATCTAACTTCACAGGATTCTTGGACATATGTAGATGCTTTCCTATTTTGTTTTAGTTATGACATACAATTGATATAGGCAAGCATGAAAGCTTGGGCAAATTTTCATTGCTTTTTCTGGATCTTGCTTGAGTTCTGTGGTATTTATGTAAAGCACAATTTTGTTACTTGGGAATGCTTGTTGAAATTATCATATGCACTATTTTGCTGTAGGCCGGTTGGCACTGCCACAAAGGTAATACACTGCCAGTAGGCCATTTCCTTGTCGACTGCATTTACAGTTTAATAGGAATATTACATGACTTTTTTAAACAAGTGTTTTGGCAGGGAGGAAATAGCAGATTCCATGCAAACAAGCATAGCTTCCTTCCCTTAACCACACTCTAGCTACTCCAAAAAATTGTACTGAGTTTCAGATTAGGGAGGGAAAAAAAGCATTTCAGGTTGAAAAATGGCAGTGATATTTCTTGGTACTACTTGTAACATGTTTAAACTTATGGTTCAGCATTTGTGAATATATATGTTTAAGGAGTGGTATTTCATTTATTTCTTTTGCAGATCTGAGGCTGATATGGTCTGGAACCACCTTATTTATTTGGCTTGGGGTTGTAAAGAGCATGACCATCAGCCAAGCCAGTAGTCTAAAAGTAGCACCCTTTTCCATCCAGGCAGAGGCCTGGGATTTTCTCACACGTTTGATGTCTAACTGTGTTCACACTGCTGGCAGCATTATATAAAAATGCATTCTTTGCTGACATACTTCAGGGGCAATGTCTGTTGTTCTTCACATATTAGTGTTTACCTCTATACTACCTCAGAGGGGGGAAATATTGATAACAGGCTGAGGATTGCTTTTGAAAATGGTGAAACAGCCACTAGAAATAGCTGTGATCAAGGGTAGGTTATGGTAGAGACATAATGGTATTTTGATAAGATTATTTACATATATCTGAATTTGAATGAAGTCACCATGTGATTTACTTACTCTTTCCCATTTCTTGTTTGCATTATGACCGTTATTCTAGAACAGAATTTGACACTGACAGTTCTGCTTTTGTCAGAGTAGCTCTAGACACCTTCTTCAATGAAAATTGGTAAATAGAAGTTTTCTTGATATTCTAGCAGTGTTTTTCCTTCCAAATAATTAAGTTGCACTACATTGCACTGACAATATTTTCCTTAGCAAACGTTCTTTAGCAGATAAAGAAGCTATATTTTACTAAGCTGAACAAGCATCTTTCCCAGTTTATTAGTTAGACCTAGTTTGTACACTGTGTAGTCCAAATTCATGCTTTGTTAACAAACAATTCAGCAATAAGTTGTCATCAGGTTCATAGTAAACCTTCTCTCCAGGATTAGTTGTTTGTATGTTTCCTCTCCCAGGACTGTTCAGCACATACTCTAGATATATTTGTTCCTTTGGGATTCCACCCAGAAGTTCAGGTAAAGACACAACTGCTTATCTCACTGAGGCTATAGGTAGGTGTTTAGTTACAGCGCTGAGAAATTCTTAGCGCTGGAAAAATAGGTCTGGGCTGGAGCATACAGGCATTCCAGCTGGAGAGCTACTTGGATACCCTAAAGTGAGCTCTCCAGTTAAGGAGGTCAGAGGGCTGCTCCTTAGGTTCCCCTTACCCCCATTGGAGCTTAAAGATTGAAAGCCTGCCCTCTCCCCTGTCATGGAAGGCTGTCAGTAAGCAACTGGCAGGAGCAGCAGGGCTTGACTAATCCCTGATGGAGAACTATGGGATACAGAGATTCCTCACGACTTCTCAGAAGTGTATTGGCATTTGAGCTGATGTGAGAGAAAAGAGATCTTCCTGGTGGAAGTGCTCTCTTTTTTTGTCGAAGAGTGCTCTCTTCTGCAAAAAACCCATTGAATGCTTCTATGCTAGCTTTTTTGTGCTAGGAGAAAGTTGTTTCTCCCACCACAGAAGGAGAATAGCCGAAGTCAACTGACCTGTCTTAACCCTTCTCCAGCAGGATCAACACCTTGTGACAGGATGGGGTACTTCAGACAAATACCACCAACTTTCTACAGACATCTTACTTTTTTATTCCTTTCATCTTCTTTCTTTTCAAGCTGCAGTAACTCAGGCTACTGTGGTATGGAAGAGGTTGGTGGTGGATATATTTTTTTCAATATATCAAAGCACTGGCCTTTCTGTGGTGAAGTTTGTTGGTAATGGACATGTGGACATCATATGTTCCACAATGTATTGTAGGAAGCCAAATGAATTGTTTCCATTTGCCTTAAGTCCAATCATGAAATTTATTTTTCCATGGCACTTACCCAGATCATCCATACCTCCTGCTTAGCTTGTGTCACTTCCACCACATGCTAATCTGCTTATGATCTCTCTTTTTCCTTGATGTATCTTATAACAAGCTGCCTTTCTCCATGAAGCTTTTAATGCTTTGTATACTGCATTATAACTATAGATTGGAGTTGGAATTATTGCCATAAAAATGGAAAAGTGAATGAATTTGTGGTGCTGGGCATCATATCTGTATGGAAGCCCTTGTTCAGGTAGTAGGCAATTTTTTGTCTTTTTTGATTATATACTGCATAACGAGGACAGGAAAAATTGGTGACTTGAGTCATCTTGATGCACAGTTAATTCTAGCTGAAAAATGCTAGAATAATTCCACTGGTGGAATAGCTCTATCAATTTAATTGATGCATTAAAGTTGGGGTTTTTTGTCATCTTACATTTGGACTTTCTTGAACCAACCTTACTGTTCATAGCA